CTAATGCTTTCTGGAAGCCTGACTGCCTTGAGTCAGAAGCCTGTGTGCCCTGTCTGGTGTGCTCTGCTCAGTGTCCCCCCTTGGTGCACTCATTTGGAACCTATGACCCTCATTCCCATCTCTGCTTTGTCTTTGAGTTTTTGTAAGAAATCAGTGATGTGCCCTTACAGGCCCCTGTCACTGGTGGGGGAGGTGGAGGATATAGTTCTACTTGCTGGGTTTTGGCCCATCTTTCCAGAATGGCACCAGAATGCATTCAGACTCACAAAATCAGAAGGCCTGATTGCCTTGGGCAGCTACCATAAAATATAGTATCTGTCCGTATCTTTCAGTAAATTTTAAGTTTTGCAAGGGAGTGTGCACTTGAAAGTATCATATAAGGTCTTCCCAGTCATCCAGGTTCATTAAATCGTTGTTGCACCTGTAAACTTAACCCATAAAGTCATCCTTAAAACTAAAGAAAGTTACATGTACTGAAAAAAAGAATGGCAAGGCAACAATGCAACCTTACACACAGCTGCATTTTGGCTCCTCCTCTGAGCAACATCTAAAAGTTTGGGATCCCTTCCATGGAGTTCTTTCCTTTGCCAAATGCTTTGGGGAAATCAAATGTATATGCTTGCATTCCAAAGACTTTTTCAGTTCTCACTGAAATTTTTTCTATTTTGTATTATAACACACTTAAATTTTAATATAATGCTGCTCCAGAAATGGCTGTATTCAGAAGTATCTACAGAACTTACAGCATGCTACTCAAAGTAAAATGTTGTGATATGCAAAACTGACACATCATAGTTTTAAACAGTTTTCACCACCTAGAGTATTTTAACTTAACTCTTGGAGAAAGCATAACACTATTTTTTTGTTTATACAAAGTCTTTTGAAACAACTGAAGTAAACACTCTGGGAAACACTTTACCTGATCCAAAAAATTGCTTCCATGATATACTACTTAATTAAATCTGACTAGGCATTTGAAGTTTTCTATATCTTAATGGTTTACCAAAATATAGATGACAAATTATATCAGTAGGTTTTTTTTGTGTTGCTTGAAGTGCCCTGTTGCATGTGAGATTACTTAAGGCTATTTGTAGACTGTAAGCAGTTGGTCATAAGGCCTTCCTTCTGCCAAAAGCACTCTTGACTTTGGCAGAGGTAGAGTGTTCATTTAGGAAAAGGATAGTACCGGGTAATATTAAAACAAGCATTGATATCAGAAACTGTCATAATGTATAGCCTTAGCTTTTATCTTTCAATTACAGTGGATCTTGAAGACTTCTGAGCACCATGAATAGTTTTTTGTCGTGTGTGTGTGTGTGTGTGTGTGTGTGTGTGTGTGTGTGTGTGTGTAAACCAAAAGTAAATGTTGGCCCTAAATTTCTGTGACTTAAATTATCATAGGTAATTGTCAGTAGTCATTTACTAATCATATTCTTTACAAATACTTTGCTCATTTCTTTCCTTCTGCTTAAGAGTTTAATGCTTGCATTGTGCAACTAAACCGGTATCTTATCCTTTTAACTCTGCTTATTCTTAACGATCTGAATCTGCTGATTTGGTGATCCAGGTGTCATTTTTTTCCTGCTTCTAGGTCAGTTGGAAAATAAGCCAAGCTGAATCTTTTTCTTTTTAGAAAACTTAAAAATCTGAAGGTGGGGTTTCCTAAAGCAGTCTTTATCAGCCATATTTGGTTGTCATGGGTGACTTCAATTACCCGGACATCTCGTGGGAGGATCGCTCAGCAAAATCTGAGCGGTCGCAAAGCTTCCTCTCGTGCGTGGATGACCTCTACCTGACTCAAGAAGTCTATGGGCCAACAAGAGGCAAAGCGCTGCTCGACCTGGTACTGGCTACTGGGGATGAGCTAGTCGGCGACCTAGTGATCGATGGGAAGCTGGGTGACCGCGACCACGAGCTGATCACCTTCACCATCCGCCGAAAAGCTGGCAAGTCAGTCAGCAACACGGAAGTCCTTGACTTCAGGAAAGCCGACTTTGACAAGCTCAGGAGGCTTGTCAGTGAGGCCCTAAGGGACCATGACCACGGGGAGAGGGGAGTTCAAGAAGAGTG